GTACCTGTCCTGGAACTAGTTCTTATAGACCACGCTGGCCTCAAACTCACAGAGTGCCTCTGCCTCTGCCTCCCGAGTGCTGGGATTAAAGACATGCACCACCACCACCCAGTGGTGGCTAACACTTTTAATCCCAGCACTTGAGATCACATGCCTTTAATCCCAGCACTAGAGAGGTGGAAACAGTGATATGGCTTGGCAGAGAAAGGAATATAAGGCGGGAGGAGACAGGAGCTCAGATGCAGTCCGAGGTTTCCTAGGGACAGTAGCAGTCTGAGAATTCATAGAGACAGGATCACCGCTTCAGTCTGAGCATTGGTAAAAGTGAGAACTCTCTAGTGGCTGACTGATCTGCTTTTTCTGATCTCTTCATTTTCTAATATCTGACTCTGGGTTTTTATTATTAGGAACAATTAAAATTTGAGCTATACTCCTTTCTGATCTCTCACTGGAAGTGTTTTGGGGGTGAGGGTAGGGTGGGGCACACAGTTCTTGTTCCTATGCCTATAGTGCTGTGAGCTCAGGGACCAGTGTGGGCCCCATGGTTAATAACAGTGAAGTTCTTCCCTCCAGAGTAACCTGCTAGCAGCTGCATTATCCTAAAATACCACTATACTATAATCCCAGAATTTGGAGGATGTGTGGGGGCATGGAGGTGGGAGAGTCAAAGGTTCAAGGTTAAGCTCAGCTACATAACAAATGCAGTTTAAAGAGACCCTGTCTCAAAACAGCAGTAACAGCAAAATTCCATTCATATCTATGATGCCTTGATGTTTTGAAAAGTATTTTTGTCTTATTTTGTGTGTTTGAGTGTTTTGTCTGCATGTTTATCTGTGTAGCATATATGTGCCTAGTGCTGGGGGAGGTCAGAAGAGGGTGTTGGATCCCCTGGGGCTGGAGTTACAGACAGTTGTGAGACATGATGTGCGTGCTGGGAATGGAACCCAGGTCCGGAAGAGCAGCAGTGCCCGTAACTGCATAGCTATACAACCTATGGATTCACTAGAATTAAGGGCATATGAAGTAATAACTTTTTTGTTTGATTTCCGTTTAATAAGAATCACATCTCTTATTATGCACTTTCTGTTGTTATTCCAATCTTAAATATGTTCAAAGACCTGTTTAGCTCATTTAAGGAAGAAATGGTATCCCCAGAGCAGGATCTGTGACAAGTGTCAGTTGCCACCATGAGTTCAGATTCTGAAAACGACTCCCAGCCTTAGGGCACAGCCCGGTCACCTGTGTCCTGGCCCATCTGTAGCAGTCAACAGAGGTGCCTGAACTGGTTTAGGACAGGCACATTTATGTCCCGGAATGGACCTTCTTAGCAGAAGCTTTATGCCTTTTATTAAGATTTGTTTATAAAACATGTATTTTATTTTTATACTTTGGATGCCTGCAGATGTGAGTGCAGGTGTCTGTGAAGTCCAGAAGAGGACATCAGGTGGCCTGGAACTGTGATATGGGTGCTAGGAACTGACCCAGTGTCTTGACAAAGATGCTGGTTTCTTTGTTCGTATTCAATTTTGTTGTGGGAATTCTGATGAAAAGATGAAAAGCAATAGAGCATGGCTATTGAATAACATGAGATAAAAGGCCATAATTCAGAAGCAAGCTTTTTCCCCAGGTAGAAAACAAATCTGAACAAACAGAAAGAGGCAATGAGTTCAAGCGGTGCTTCTCCAACTTGGTCCCTAGGAACTTCTTTGACCTATGACAATATCAAATCAATTGCTGTTCATTTTTTAAAGATTTATTTGATTATGTGTCTTATGTGAGTATGTGCATGAGAGTGTAGGTGCCTGAGGGAGCCAGAAGAGGGTGTCAGATCCCCTAAACCGTAGTTACAGGAAGTTGTGAGTGAGCCACCTGAGGGGTCACAAAGCAAGCCTAAGTCCTCTGCAAAAGCCTTACGTGTTCACTGCTCCATCTCTCCAGTCCCCAAAGCAATTTTTTTTCAGTATCATGAAGGGTGTTTTTGCCTTTTGTGTTCTGTTTTATTTGTGTGCACTACAGTTTCCTGGAGATTGTGTGATGGGCTGCCCCAACAGATTGACCGTGGAAGTGTGTATTAGGATACATCTGTCATGTATTAAGCCAGGTATTAAAAGTATTTATAAAATTGTAAAGCTGCCTCTCTTCTCATTACATGCTGCAATAAACATCAGTGTTTATAATTTAAACATACAAAATAAAAACTTATTGATTCCTTCGGTAAGTGGTGAGGCTATAACATGGTTCTGAGACTAAAATCTTCTAAGCCCTGGTTAAAAAAAAAAAAAAAAAAAGACAAGAAACAGACACTGGTGCAGTTAGCGCTGGTGAATAAATTTTAACTTAAAACAGAAAAAGGTAGATTCTTTAAAACTAATCATCTAGGTGTGTACAGAATATGGAACCACACCCCAACTGTGTCACCTGGGATGATGTGAAGATTTAAGCGGTGGCCTCGGTAGGAAGTTTAGAGCATCATGGGGCTGCTTGTTTCCCTTTTTTATAGATTTCATGTATTTTAAATACGTGAATGTTTTGTCTGTGTGTGCTGAGAGTCAGTGCAAAAGAGAGGAAGGAGACGGAGAAGGGGAGGGAGGGGGGAGAGAGAGAGAGAAAGGGGGAGCGAGAGGTATACAAGGTCTTTCTATATAGCCTAGCCTTGAGCCTTGAGCTCTCAATCCCCCTGCCTCTGCTTGAAGTTATAAATGTATATGTTGTGCCTGAATAGCACTTAAAATATGTTGGATCTGTGGAAGCGAAATTTGCATAAAATTACAAAGAACATGATTTTTATTTTTAATTTTGTCTGTGCTTGCTGCTGGGGATATAACCCAGCCTTAGTGTATGCCACGTAAGTACCAAGCTATAGCCCTAGTCTGTCTCCCTCTCTCCTTCTCTCCTTTTATCTTTAAGTTTTGAGACAATGTCTTGCTGTTTTACCCAGGATGGCTTTGAACTCACTCTGTAGCTCAGGGAAGCCTTGAATTCCACAACCCTTCTTGTTTAGCCCTCGGAGTAGCCAGGGTTGCAGGTCTGCTCCATCAGGCTGCAGGGATTGACAGTGAAGAAGAACTTTCAGTATCTGGTACTAAGAACATGACAGACAAGCAGAATTCGCTTTCTTGGAGCTAGCTTCATTGCATGTTGTGCAGGTGTGTGCATGTGAATCCTTTTTTCATTCATGGAACAGAATGTGGAACACTAGTATCCAGTATTATTCACAATAAAGAATATATCATCCAAACATCTGTTATCAGTGCAGTGAAGATAAAGGGTTATTAGCATTAGGATGACTGCTAAGCCTTTGCCTATTGTTGGGGGAGAGTCATAAAGTCTTCTGGATACATAGTGGCTATTTTCCATTCAGCGTCATAAAATATTAATAACCTTTAATGTGGTTAATTTATTTCTAGCAATTTCTTCCAGGGACATGTTAGGAAACGGGGAAGTATTTATACCCAAGTATATTTACAAAACAGTATTTTATAATACAGTGCATTTATAACAGCACCTGCCTATGTACTAAACTATGTAATAGAAACAAGGGGGATAATATTACTAGTAAGGACATTAAGTTATTAATAGCTTAGCATTAGTCATTACACAGTTCTTTCTTGTTCATCACCATGTTATTATAATTAAGTAAGGATGGATAATTCAGCATTTAGCATAGTTTATGAATCCAGCTATATAAAAAGTATATTGAACCAGATGTGGTTGCAATGACAACATATCAGGATGGTGAGGCAGAAAGATTAGAGTTTAAGGCCAGCCTGGGCTACATAGCAAGAACCTTTCTCAAAGAATATGCAAAAATGACTTTCAGGGGTACCTAGCTTATCACATTAACAGTGATTATGTCTGTGTTATGAAATGACTTTTCATCATCTTTCCTTGTTTTCTCAATTTCATTTTTACAATGAATATGCCTTGTCAAATAAAGAATAACAACATGATTCGGTTGCGTCTGCACACAAGCACTGTCATTTTCATCTATAGATTGGCTGCCTGTTGTGAGCAGCTGTGAAATGAGATTTGCAATCTACTGCAGTCTTGGGTGCTTGCTTGCTCCATCAGCCAGCGGCCAGTGTAGTACGCTCACATTTCTAGGGTGTACTTTATTCTCCCCTGACTTGTCACCATAATGCCACTGCAAACAAGCTTGCTGTCCTGACTTTTCCTCACCTAGCAAACGATAATCCTCCAGATTTTAAAATCTGAAAGTTAAACAATAAAGCTTCTTTCTGTAAGCACAGCAGAAACATGCAGTGTGGCTGCCACAGTGCCTCTCTGTGGCGACACATTGTGTTCTGATGTAATCCACATCATTCACATTTACAGAGGGGGTCATCCTGCTGTTTTCCAGTCTGCCTCTTCGGGGGCATACACAAGGAGTAGATAGATTCTATGGTCCCCATGAGCACTGCTTATGAAGACCTTGGCTGATTTTTCTTGAAGAATGTATTAGAATCTGTGTAAATTCCAGGCATGTAGATCTAACAGCATAGACATAACTTACAAACAGGCTTCATGGTAATTTTTTCTCACCCCAGTCAGATCTTTTGAAATATGCTTTTAGCTCTTGTAGAGAGCCCAGTCTTTCGTATGACCATTAACATCTGAAATCATAAGCATGTTAATGAAGGATTATGAATTATTTAGATGCAGTCTGCAATCTGATATTTAAATATATAACCAATCCATGTTGCTTACTAGAGAGTACTAATATGCTTAGATGTTGGTTCAAATATGATACTGAACATGCACGCTATTAGAAGCTCCACGCCAATCCCCTCACTTGCTGTGAAATTTAAAATTTCCATGATTTAAGTGGTACTACATTTTTCAGAAGAAAGTTTTATTCCCTTTGCCCCTTTTAAATAGGAAAGTCAAAGTCTTAAAGTCGATCCCTTGTGTGTAATCTGTTGTTGTTGGGGCGGGTGTTGAGATGTTTGATGCCGCTGTGTGATTGCCATGTACTGATAAGTCTCTTTTTAAACTTGCAGCAAATAGTGGCAGCAATAAATGCAGGGATTATCCCCTTAGGAAACAGCTCCAATCAAGTTAGTCACTGGGACCTCGGAAGCTCTTTCTTCTTTGCTGGTACAGTTATCACAACCATAGGTAGGAGACGCCTCGCTTTCTGTTTTCTTGTTTGGTACAGTTTGTGACCTGACATTTATGTGTTCAAATTTCCTGTGTATGGTTGGGCGAAGTCATCTGAGAGAGAAAATGAGGGTATAAGACATCAAGTTTTGAATTAAAAGTTCGAATTGAGGGAATTAGCAAGCTAGCCATCAGTTCAGAATGTAGAATTAAGTTTAAAATATATACTGTAAAACTCAGGAGCAATATGATGGAGATGTTTGATAAGGGATAATATATTGTAATATATCATATCCGTCTGAGTTGATGGCTTTTTTGTATAAGCATTTCCCTTTCTTTCCCCCCGCCTCTCGTCCTTAGTGTAACAGGATAGGTTTGCACCTGCCTTTGGCTGGATGTGTTGATTCAATGTCACCTCTCTGGGTTTGTGAACCTCGACTCTCCCTTGACAGCCCACCTGTTGTTACACTGGGATTGCTTCAGGGTTTGCTCTCGATGTGTTATATTTTGACAATAGCATAGACGTGTAACGTATAACGTGTTAACTGTGACACAAAGCTGGATCCTGGATGTCTTGCTCCTCTTGGTTTTGCTCTGACGTTGGAAATGTTGTTGCAATGGAACAACAAGATTAGTGGCTGTGAAAATCCGGAGGAGCGGCAGCCTTCACTCCGAAGCATAATAGCAGGTTCTGGTTGAGACTTAGACATGCTGGCCATTTCTGCTGTGGAAAGAACTATTTATTTCAGAGTCTGCAAGCAAGGGCAAGAGCAAAAGAATAAAGGCTCCCAGACTGAGTGAGAAGGGTTTGTTGCTGTCCAAGGGTAACTCTAGAGCTCACATTATAACTCACTGTGACTGCCACTAAATTACTTTGCAAGAGACACAGTCGTTATATGCTATTAGTGCTGCGCTGTGTGTTTATAAACAGTCTCATTTTCGGAATCCCCAAATGCAGTTAAGTTTCACAGACATATACTTCAATGCATGAAAAGAAATAAACCATTGTTACCAGCTTTACCTCCAAATTATAGGCATTAAATACAGTAGCTGGTGATTTGGACTACTTAGGAAGCTGCCTGAAAGCCCGGCCTCTTACTCATCCTTCTCAGTTTGTAGCCTTAGGTGGCTCAAGTCATTTTGAGTCACCCCTCTGGGATCTTTTTTATTCCCCGGTCTTTCTTATTCCTGTGTCAAGGCCACTTCCTCTGACCTTGGACTAGATTAGGAGTTAGGGTAAAAACACTTTTAAGTATCCATATGACACTTAATTGACATATATTTTGCATCTGTGCAATTAAAAGAATAAATATCAGTGCTGCTGCTCTCGTGACCAAGGTGTTTCTTAGCCACATGGGCTGCACCATGCTGCATTCTGCACGCTGCACTGGTCCTTTGGAAACTAGAACTTGAGCGTTTGGCAGGGAACTCGCAGGGTCTTTTGTGGGGGGGTGTCATGTGAAGGTGGTGCCTCATGGGGCCATGTGGGCTGCAGATGTCCATGGCTTTCCTATTTTCTTTATCAGTTTAAGATGTGAGCATGCACGAGGCAGCTTCTACATTGGAACCCTGTTAAGGTGAAGGCCATTTATACACAGTGCCATATTAAAACTTGAAGACCCAAACCTAAGGAATTGCTTCCAAGTTACTCACCTTTTGTGAAATCAGATCCTTCCACCACCTTTCCTTAGTTCTGCTCCACAGCTGCACACACTGGAGTCTACGAGCATTCTCCCCCCCACCCACCCCAGTCTACGATCATCCTACCTCCCCCCACTTTCCCTTTTCCTAGCCCATTGGTTCACAGAGTTGGCTCTGCTCATAAAGCAAACCCATCCTTGACTGCTCACCTTTCTAGCTACTTCTTTGGTCCAAGCCATGGTTACCTCACTCACCTTCATGAAGAGGCCTGACTCAGGCCCTCTCTTTGTTTCTAATCCAGTCGCCCAAACAATGCCACGGCCCCTGTGCCTGTCTCTGCTGGTAGGATGCCAGGGGTTCTTAATTTGTTTTTGTTGTTGTTGTTGTTGTTGTTGTTGTTCCCCCAGAATCTCCCAACTTCTGAGATATAGTAGGTGCTTAAGAATTAATTTGGGGAAGGGTCTGGGGTGATGGCTTAGTGGATAAGAACAGTTGCTGCTCTTGCAAGAGGATGCAGGTCAGCCAAGACTGGACACCTCACAACTCCTGTACCTGGTTTCAGGAGATCCTTGGCTTTCTTCTGAACTCTACAGGCACCTGCATACATGTGCTGCATATAAAATCACATGGACACACATAAATTAAAAAAATCTTTTAAAAGGATCTTCAAATTGAAAACAGATAGGCATGTAGGTGGTGTGGGCTGCGGCTTAGGGGATGTTACTCGACAATATGTTGATAGATACGATAGTGAATTCAGGGCTTGCTCAATACTTCTCATCATCAGCTCGCTTGTTTGTGCATTTATTTATTTAATAGGTAGTAAACACTCTCTACTGCCATAAATATGAGAGTCCCTGACCCCAACTTGCACAGCAATGAGTCAGGGAGGTTGGAGGGCAGATTGAGACAGTAGGCAGAGGAAAACAGGGGTGCCAGGTGTTTAGTGGAACCCATGGTATACTTTACAAGCTAGTAAGGTAAGTGGGTAGGGAGGAAGGGGCAAAGGATGGTTGCTTCTGGTTGTTAGGTGTTGTCCTAAAACTGAGAGAAGAGTTAGTGGTTTTCAAGGCAAATGCATATATACAGGAGAATTCCAGACATTGAGAGCTCTGGAAAGAGACAAAGGTAGAAATCCACAGGGGGCTTCAGGTAATCTGACATGGTTGTCCATGTTGGAAAGCCTTATGCTGAGGATCCTGGGACTTGGTGCCAGTCTAAGTGGCTCATATTGGATGGTTGATTCTTTTGCCACGGTTGGGAGCTTAAAGAAGCAGAGATACTCTCTTACAAAGAGATATCATTTACACATGAAAAGCAGCCATAAGTGTCACGTGATCAGATGTGCTATGGAGCTGGCATTAGGATGTGGTTGGAAGTGGGAAAGGGGAGAATGTGGGCCACAGCTCATGACAAATGAATCCAAGTTGGAGGTGAACTGTGAACTAGGGCTGTGTTTGGAAAAGGACAGCTGTTTCTGCCTGTGGAAGGGCAATGCTGAGCAGGCTGTGGCAGGAGCAAGCCAGAACCCAGACAGAGCATGAACTGGACTTGGTTTGGGGGTGGGCAGGTAAACGTTTGTGTAGACCAGAGGCTCATTTAGGGAGGGCAGCAGGAAATGCTGGCTGCTGGGGGAGGCAGTTCAATCTAAATTGCTCTTCAAGGGGTATTGTACTTGCTAAATAAGATAAAACGTTCCCCTTTTTAAATAAAAAAAGAAAGTGAGAGGTAGTAGTGACATTAGGATGCATCTTTCAGGAAGAGGCTAAGTTAAAACAGCTCAGTGGATGGAACGATTAGGAGGTTAGGACAGTGACCTGCACGAGCCTCGTGAGCATTGCCAGGGATGGCAGGAATGGGTGTGGGAGGGAGAGTCGTAGACAGGGTGCATTCAGACTTAGATGAGGCAAGCAGTCGGTCTTGATGACTAACAGGATGGAGAGAAGGGGGCGATAATGCGGAAAGCAAGGTGAGTATTTAGACAGTAGACTTGTAATTCATCGAGAGCGCTCGTTGATCCTATTCAGAAAACTGAGCTCAAAAAATAGCCAAGGTTTTAAATGCTGTGTTATTTTAAGAAGCTTCATTTTAGTACTTTATCCCAAGCTCCCCACCTTCCCCACCCCCTGCCCCTCCTTTGACTTTTATTTCTTTCTTTATTTTGGCCACTCTTTAGTTGCGCTGGCTCCCTTATGATACTTCCTGGTCATTGCCTTGGGGTCAGAAAGGCTGGCGACCCATCATCAGGACATTAATAAACAAGGCCGTGGATGCTGCAGAGGAAACTGATGTGCAATCGTAGAGAGAAACCAGAGCCGGGAGTGGGAGGCTTTCCCAAAGCGGCTGCTTGCCGCAGGAACTCTGAGGGGGCGACATCCATCTGAAACCTGAAGGATGAAAAGAAGTCAGCTGTGGAAAAGACAAGTGGGAAGATGGGTTCAGTCAGAGGGCACAGCCATGGTGCGGATCCTGAGTAGGCTGGAGTCTGGCACGGTCAGGGCACCCAGCTGAGCTATGGAGCAGACCCTGGACCGGTAGCAGAAGGATGCCACAGGGTGCAGGGGTCACAAAGCCTGAGGGACACAGAGGGTCATGGTGAGGGTATCTGTGGAGTGGGGAGCCACCGCCAGGTCTCATCAAGAGAGCAGGGGTGGGGCTGAGAAGATAACTCAGTTGGGAAAACACTTGCTCTGTTAACACGGGGACCCGACTCAAGGGCCTCTCTAGTTTATCACTGTGGGCATTTCTTCAGGTCTAAGCAGAGAGCATTTCCTTTTTGGGACACCTGCCCCCTTTACAGAGAACACTCAGTTCCTCCCACCAGAGTGTTGACATTGAGTTCACCTATGCAGCTTCTATAGTTTGTGTGGTTTCTGTATTTGTCTGATTTTTTGAATCAATTGATTGGAACAGTGCTGTGAATTTACACTGCTTGAATTGCAAAAAATGTTACGATATTGATGCCTGACTTGCAGCAGACTTGCATCCCATCATGCGTCATGCTTAACTGATGAGAAACAAACCATGACGATGACGACGACGACGACGACGACGACGACGACGACGACGAAGAAGAAGAAGAAGAAGAAGAAGAAGAAGGTGAAAGAAAGGAAGGTTTGGAGTAATTATACCAAGAAGTTCTAGATTTAAAAAGAAAGAAAGAAAGGAAACGAAGAGAGAGGAAGACGAGAAGACAGAGGAGGAAAGCCATGTTTTGGGAAGAAGTATGTTGGAAACTGTAAAGCCCTGTGTTGGTTTTTGACTGATACCATTTTTCTTGCATGGAGTTGTCAAATAGAAACTTACAACTCTGAGGAAAACTTCCCATCATTCCTTTTTCCCTGTGGCGAGTACAGGAGTCTTCCCTTCCCGTGGAG